TTTTATATAAATTAATTATAAAAAATATAATAAATAGACTTTTAACTTTCTCAAAAAATTCCTTCCACATAAACTTACTTTAATTAATTGGTTTGTTTCACATGCATTAATTGTGTCTTGCTATTAATTTGTATAAAAAAAATAAATGATATGAATTTTTCTAACTTGTATGTCCTTAATGTATAGCTTAAGAGTATTAATTATATTTTTTATTAATTATTACAAAAAAATATATAAAATTTGACTTTAATTTTTTGAGAAAATATGCGAATAAAAGTACCAACTTTACACTTTTTTCTATTTAAAAATATTAACTTTATCAGTTTTTAAATAAAAATACCAATTTTACATTTTTTATTTAATAATGTCAATTTTGTTAATTTTTAAATAAAAATGCAAACTTTTAACTTTTAATTTTTTCTATTTAAAAATGTTAATTCTCAATATTTCAATTAAAAGGCCTATTTGTCATGTCAACATCACTATGTAATTAATTCTTAAATAGAAAAAACTAAATATTAATAACTTTAAATAAAAAAAAGTTAAAAGTTAATATTTTTATTTAGATTCTAACAAAATTAACATATTTAAATAGAAAAAAAAAAGTAAAGTTAATATTTTTATTTACCCATTTTCTCTCTATTTCTTCATTATTTTAGGGTGTTAAATGTAAAAAGAAAAAATGTCTAGGGGCAAATAGGAAATATGGCTTTAGAAATTTTTAAAAGTTCTGAGCTGCCCATACCAGAAGTAGACACATGGCAAGCAAGGAATGATGAGATGAATGTTTGGATCTCACCAGGGCTTGGTCCAACATCAGTAACGGGCTTATAGATATAGAGGTTTATCAAAGTGGGCTTTTAAATCAAAATGTAAATCAACGGTCTGGATCAGGTCCTTCAATTTGAGCTTGATTTTTTTTTTCTCTCGCTGTAGATCTATAGTTTAGCCTTGTTTAGAGACAAAAATTATTAATTTTCAACAATAAACCATGAATATTTCAGCTTTCATTGCCCAA